TCGACTAAAAGAATCTTATATTATATTTAATGTATAAACTCTCTGTAAATTTCAAATTAGTTTTAAGAATAATTAAATCAGATCTTAAGCTTGTAAACTGTAATAGTGATGGGTGATGATAGATATCATTAATTGATATTAAATTCTGAATATACTTTTGCATTAAACCTTTTCCACAAAATTATCTCAAAGAACAAGGAATAAACATGTTTTAAGAAACAGTCAGCTGGCACTGGCAGCTCCTTTCTTTTCCTTTTCATGGGCTCGGCCGACTACATTCAACCAAAAATAAAGCAGGCCTACATCAGCATTGACAAAACGTTGAAAAACTTAGGGAATGTTTGGGATAACTTTTTTCAGCTCAAAGTTGAAAAACTTAGGGGGTGTTTGGGATAACTTTTTCAGTTCAAAAGTCATTTTTATAAAAGAACTTTTTTCAAAAGGAGTGGTTTAAAAAGTGTTTGGATGGGCAAAAGACAAAAATTGCTTTTAAAAGACACAAAAGTCACAAAAAGTCACAAATTGTGACTTTTAGAATCAATCTTTTTTCCCTTGCCCAAAATTTGTTTTAAAAAGAACTTTTAAAATTGCCAAACATCTTTTGAATATTTTTGACTTTTTGGAAAAGTAAAAAGTCCAAAAGTAAAGCAATCCCAAACACCCTCTTAGAATGTAATCCTTCTTTTGACCCGAAATTTGTCAATAACAAATTCATCATGTAGTCGCTTTCTTGGTCTAATTAGGCTACGATAATCCACCTTAACAAGCAACAGGAACACGTAATCACGAAAGGGATAATCAGTTTAGATCTAAAGCCAGGATCCATACCTTAAAAATAACAAAAAAATCGCAGAAAGCCTTACTTCTTTCCAAAGGGGGTACTTTCTAAAAGAATTTAAGGATGGGGCCGGGGGTGGGTTCAACCATCTATTAATATTAATATTGGGGGGCAAGGGAAATGGACCTCTTGAGGCCCTCAGGCCCGGAGAGCCCAAAAAACACCTTGTATCTAAATAATTTTATCAATAGAATATAAATATTAAGTAACCTTATAGCAGTGTTGTAAAAATCCCGATTAGGTCCCGATTAATCCCTAGGCGTTACTCGACGGATTAGAGAGCGCCTAACGATTAATCCATGCATACAGAATGACTGAAATAGTAGAACCCGGTGAAATTTTAACACTTTGAAGAAGTTATATCTCAATAGAAACTATTTGAAATATGAATAGTATTGTATTTATCATATTAACCTATTTTGTTATGATATTAGTGGTATTTATGAACTTTTATATGATATTAATCATATTTAATTTTTTAAAATCTTACAAATTAACAATTAATGGTCCCCGATTAATCTCCGCCTAGCCGATCAATCCCTTAACCCCAGTCCACCGACTAGCTAACGTCGAACGATTTTTACAACCTTGCCTTATAGTAACATTTGTATTATATGTCAATTATTAGTACAATATATAATGTTAAACGAGGTAAACATACGTAAAAAGGACGAACTAGATAAAAAATGATTTCAAGGGAAATAGGAAAATGAAGGAAGCGAGGGTAACAAAGAATTACGAGGGCATGGGAGGAGGAAACAATGGATTTCAGGGTGGCTCCGAGGGAGGCTTTTCTCGACCTGTTTGGCCCTATTATTATTATTATTTTTTAATTTTTTTAAGAAATCAAACGATGAACACGGAGATAAAATGTTAAATATATTTTACTAATCAAAAGTTTATTGAGAGAATTACAGAGTGAAACTTCAAAAAAAAGTTAAAAATATCTAAAATCTTCTATTTAAACTAAAACAAAGTTGCAACTAGACTACAAGTTCAAATACGAAAGTGATCCGTGTCCCTTAAAGTACAGAATGTGTGTAAGAGTTTGTCACGTTCAATACTGAAGACTGTATAACAAGCTAACGACATCAGACAAATAAAAACACAATTGTGTTATTTGACAACCTGCACATTTAAATACAAATTAAATAAAAAAATTAAATTAATAAAATTAAATAAACTAAATAAAAACTATTAAACTACTATAATAAACTTAAATAAAATTTACATTTGGTTTTTATTTTTTTCGTGGATTTTCCTTTTCATTGCTAATGTCATTTCGAGGTCCTTTAGTGCAACATCATCGGTCGACATCTTCAAGATTTGCATATTATTGTTATTATTATTTATTTATTTATTTATTCGTGTCTGGCTTCTCTTTTCAGTTCTATTTTTATGCTTTTTGCAATTGAAGATGTCTGAAGCTTTTCCTTAAAAGTTTAAGTGATTTGGTCTTTCTGATTGAATTTGCTTTTGCATCCCTTTATTATTCAAATCGGTGGTTGAATGGGGTCTTATAGTGTAATCTCTTTGACATCATTGTTGATGTTGATTGACGTACGAGAGTTCGAAGTTTGCGTTTATTCGTTTGATTTAGATGTTTTGGACCATTTGTTGGATTTTGTTGATTGCGTAATACATTCCCCTTAAGTGCCATTTGGAACCATTTTGAGAACTTCTCATGCTTTGTTATATGTAAATGCTTTACCACCATTGTTGTTCCGATATCGTTGAAGAGTAATATTTAAGTTGTCGAAATCATTTCTTTCATTTTTATACATATTGCTATGACTATTTAAGTTCTCAAGTTGCGTCATTTGGCAGCAAGGGCATCGTTATTCCGATAAACGCGTTTCCCATTTCCATGTGAAATCTAAAATTCGTTCCCAACAACTTTTGGCAATAAGGTTATCTTTGGAGATGGATATCCAAGCATGAACTATTAGGTCTTCCCCGGCTTCAGAATAACACCTAGGACTTTTTGTGTCGTCGTCATTTTTTTTTGAAGCTTTATGTTGTTCTAGTGGTTGTGTTTCGACAACCAAATCTGGTGCCGATTCATGCCCGTGTTGTTGTTGACATACTTGAATTTTTTGTTGAAATGGTAGTTGGAAAAGGTTTTTGTCGAGATGTGGGGATTGTTGATGTGTTGTGTTTAGAGCGAACATACCATTTTGGTTTGGGGTAGGTGGTGGTGTGTTTGAGTAAAAAAATAGATAGAAAAAAATATAAGGTGTGAAGAGTATAGAATGAAAGATTGTAGCGTGGAAGTATTATGGTCAATAATTAAGTATTTGTAAAGAAAATATAAAATAATTTCATTTTTTTTTTCAAATATACAATGACCATTTCTTGACCGTTTCTTCTATTGTGAGCAACAAGAGGGATTGTGTGCACGTCGTGCCCCTTATTAGTTCTAAAATAGGGGTTCTTTTACAAGATTCTAGGGTTGGGGATGGGAGTGGGTTCAACCCTCTTTTAATTTCCGAAGGCAAGAGCAATAGTTTTCGAGGGCAAGGGATTGGATTCAGCCATATAGTAACATTTGTATTATATTTCAATTATAAGTAACATATAATGTTAAATGAGATAAAAGTATGTAAAAAGTGTGAACCAGGTAAAAAAAGGATTTTGGGGAAATGAGGGGCATGGAGGAAGCGAGCAGAAGGCTGTGTTTGGCGCGTCACAGCTAGCTGATAAACTAGCTTATTTTCGAACTTTTTTATGTTGTCGTGTTTGGCAAACCAAAAAGTATACTTCGACTAGCTTTTTAGGAGCTTTTTTTAAAATTTTCCAAATACACCCCTTAATTAATTATAGAAACACATACTCCTACATGTCCTTTTATGTAATTTTATATATTTCAGCTAGTTTTACCAAACGTTATTTTTTATCAGCTAGCTTTTCAGCTATGAACTATCTTTTTATTTAACAGCTAGCTTTTCAGCTAACAGCTAACTTTTCAGCTAGTACGCCAAACATAGCCTAAAAAGGAATATTAGGTTTAGGGGCGGCTCATTTCCTGTCCCATTTGGCCTTATTGCACAATTAAAGAAATCGCATGATAAACGTAAAGAGATATAACATTAGATATATTTCACCAGTCAAAATGTTTTTGAGAGAATTACCCTATGAAACTTCCAAACCAATTACAAATGATCTGAAACCTTCTATTTATACAAAAACAAAATTGATGGATTAGGCTCGACGGAGTGGGAAAACACTCGGCGGGAAGATGTTGAGTTTCTCTCCACATTCTCTTCTCTGCCCTTCTCTCTTCTCCCTCTTTTCTCCTACACTGGCAGGCAGCCACTCCCTTCTGATGGCAAAAAGTTATCGGGCAACACCAAGAGCTGAGGTGGAGCTCCGTTATTTCAATACGACTCCCTCAGCCTTAGTGTACGGTTTCAAATAAGAAATTGACTCGTGTCCCCTAAAGTAGAGAAAGAGACTTTCATGTTCGTTCAATAGTGATTACTACCAATAAAAACAAGACATGTTATTTGACAGCCTATATTTATTTTTTAACTGATAAAAAAATAAACATTAAATGAAAGTATTCTATCTCTAAAAGCACTAAAGTAGCCAAAATTCAACTATGTGTCACTATATCTCCATCTTGTGAATGACTTAGACAAAAGTTCATGTTCACCGAAACTTTAAATAGGTAAAGTGACACAATTTTTTGATTTAACATCACACCTTTTTAGTTTTGAGAACAATGACTTAGTCAGGTGACAATAGTCAATTAAATTATATGATTATTTGGACTTTAATACTTATTGGCGTTTAGTTGGAATGATTGAGAGGTAGGTGCTTTAAATTTTTAATATATAAATTCACAAACCTATTTTCTTGAAAGATTTTTTTAATTTTTTTTTTATTTTTTAGATTTGATACAAAGAGAACTAATGGCTACAATAAATAGTAACAATGCATTATAATTACAGATAGTGACGCACCAGTGAAAGGTAGCATATTGGAAAAATTGCATTATACCGAAAATTTCCACTGCCCAAAAAAATTAAAGGGGTAGCAGGGGCTTCTCGGACCCCCAATAATACTAATAACATCAAATCCAAAATTATATATATTGTATATATACATATATAAAAGGAAATTCGACAGCTTACCTCTTGATTGTTGCTTTGTTTCTTGATGACAACCACTCCCCTACAGTTACATGAAAATGATATTCCAACAAGAAGAAATTAGATCCTATATCTGCCATTTTAGGTAAATTACATCTTTACCATTTATTAACTTTATATCTTAGAAAATCATTTGATTTTGATTTCTTAACTTGTCAAAAATCGAAATCTTATTTTTTTTGAAAATGCATTATCATCAATTACTACATGAATTCATACAGACAAACAAATCTGATATTGTATAATTGTATTACGTGACAAATTTAAAACATGCATATTAAGTTTTTATAAAAATATATTCCATATAATGTCTTTTCAATCATTATATAATATATATTATAACTTTATCCTTAACTGATAATCTGTTTTATTTTTATTTTTTATAGAAATAATCAGTTGTTCACTTGTTTAAAAGAGTCAGATGGATTATTATAACTTAGAGATTACAATTGCTCTATAGTGTTTGAGATAAAAGTTGTTATATAAGTGATGCATGATCAGATTTATATTGGCAATCACAAAAGTTTACCCATGACTAAGAATTAAGAAATAGTATAACATTTTTCTTCATCAACACCGACAAATCTAAATAGTCATGTTTAATAATTTGTGTTCCACCTAATAAGATCATATAATGTATTAAATTTGATTATTTTAACCTGAAAAGAAAGCTAAATCTTAATAAAGGTCCCTTTAAAGATTGATTGGAAATTGACATTTTTGTCCCTCTTGCTCTAAATTCTTGAAACAGTACTAAATATGTCATAATAGTTGTTTGTTGCTTATACCATCTGCATGAGACATGACATATTAAACATCATATTAAAAAAAACATATCTTCACCTATAAGTCAAATTATTGAAAAACTGCCCTTATTAGCAAACATTGTTTCTATTGTAATTAAACATTAAAAAAAACATATTAAAAAATATATCTTCACCAATAAGTGAAATTATTCATATTAACTCAAATTTAAGGCAACTCTTTCCAGATTTGAAGTTTCTTACGTTTTCATCTTAGAGATGTTAATTATGTACTCTTAGTCCGAGTGTATATATATACTGAAAACACGAGTATAAGTCTTTTAGAATAAAAAGATGAAGGAAATAAAGGGCAAATTTGGCAATTTAAAATGAATAAGACCACTTGAGATAACATTATGCATCTTGGCATCTTCCTCACATGCACAACTCATAATATCTTTATTTGTTTTTTTCTAAATTACAATTAAAATAGAAGAAACACACTCACATGCAATTATTAATTTCTTCTCTCTCTAAAATTATTATTTTTTGTAATTTTCAACAAAAAAAAACATAATAATAATCAAAGTCCCCATCAAGACCCTCCTTTGCTTATCCTACAAAACCCCATCTCCAATATTCTTCTTCTCATTCCAAGTTCTTCAATTTTTCAATTTTTATATAGAATCAAACACTTAATTTTTCAAGAAAATGAGAGAAATCCTTCATATTCAAGCCGGCCAATGCGGAAACCAGATCGGTGCAAAATTTTGGGAGGTGGTTTGTGATGAACATGGAATCGACGCGAGTGGGAAGTACTACGGAAACACTCATGTTCAATTAGAGAGAGTGAATGTGTACTACAACGAGGCTAGTGGTGGTCGATATGTCCCAAGAGCTGTATTGGTCGATCTAGAGCCCGGTACCATGGACAGTCTGCGTGCCGGACCTTACGGGAAAATTTTCCGCCCCGATAACTTTATTTTCGGCCAAAATGGTGCCGGAAACAATTGGGCCAAGGGACATTACACCGAAGGTGCCGAGTTAGTTGATGCAGTTCTTGATGTTGTTCGTAAGGAAGCTGAGAACTGCGACTGCTTACAAGGTATACTTATCAATATACTACTAAAAAATCAGAAATTGTTTCATATTAAAATATTTCAAGTTTCATCAAACAATTTATGATTTTGATAGTTGTGAGTTCTAGCAAACCATGGGGACTAATCATGTAATTTTGTTTATAATTTATTATGCGACAGGATTTCAAGTATGTCATTCGCTTGGAGGTGGTACTGGATCCGGTATGGGTACTTTATTGATATCGAAGATCCGAGAGGAATATCCAGATAGGATGATGTTGACATTTTCAGTGTTTCCATCACCAAAGGTGTCGGACACAGTGGTTGAGCCTTACAATGCCACCTTGTCTGTCCATCAGTTGGTCGAAAACGCTGACGAGTGTATGGTACTCGATAACGAAGCGTTGTATGATATCTGTTTCCGGACCCTAAAACTCACCAACCCAAGCTGTAAGACTTCTGAAAAATATTTCATTTTTTTTTTTTTTTGAGATACAAACTTGTAACAAATGTTATAACAATATGTCAAATTGACAATTATAAAATTGTAGCTTATTTAAGTTGTACCATTGGTACAATTTACAACTACTTAATGCAGTTGGGGACTTGAACCACTTGATATCAACTACCATGAGTGGGGTCACTTGTTGCCTCCGTTTCCCCGGTCAACTCAACTCCGATCTCCGGAAGCTCGCCGTGAATCTGATTCCATTCCCACGTCTCCACTTCTTCATGGTCGGATTTGCACCGTTGACTTCCCGTGGATCACAGCAATACCGTGCCCTAACCATCCCGGAGCTCACCCAACAGATGTGGGATTCCAAGAACATGATGTGCGCCGCTGACCCCCGTCACGGCCGCTACCTCACCGCCTCCGCCATGTTCAGGGGCAAAATGTCCACCAAAGAAGTCGACGAGCAAATGATCAATGTACAGAACAAAACTCCTCTTATTTCGTTGAATGGATCCCTAACAATGTGAAATCGAGCGTCTGTGACATCCCTCCAACGGGGCTGGCGATGTCGTCGACTTTTATGGGGAATTCGACGTCTATTCAGGGAGATGTTCCGGCGAGTTTCCGAACAGTTCACTGTAATGTTTAGGAGGAAGGCTTTCTTGCATTGGTACACCAGTGAGGGGATGGATGAGATGGAATTCACGGAGGCGGAGAGCAACATGAATGATTTGGTGTCGGAGTATCAGCAATATCAGGATGCGGTGGCCGACGACGATGTTGAGGATGATGTGTATGGGGAAGAAGAAGAAGAAAATTAAGTATGAATATTTTTTTTTATTTTATTTTGGGGTATGGTGAGTATTCGAAATGATTTTTATATCGTGTGGTATTTTGGGTCTATATGAGTGTATTGTGAATAAGATATTGATTTATTGTCTTTTGAAGTTATAATAATGATTATAAATAATATATATTGTTAGAAACTTAGAAACTTTTATCAAATTCGCCAATATAGCCATGGAATGAAGATTTATAGGCCAAAACTGAATCTATGTAGCTGTAAATGCAAACAAAGCTTTAATGGGTCCAAACACAAGAAACAAGCTATCAAAGGAGATTCATGAGATTGAGCACTTCAAATGAGTTTGAGTTTTATAGAAATTATTATTATTTGAAATATTTTTTAATAAGTTGTTATTATTAAACACACAATTTATATTGTTTTTTCTATTAACTAGTTATTATCTATTAATCTTGACCAATTATTTGAAAAACTAGTTTATAGCTGAAATTCTAACAGCTTGCTAGTTTGTTTAATGTTATTTCCACTGTTTTAAAAAATAATAATTAATACGCTACCTGATAAAAATGGCATTAGGTAAGAAATTAGTTGCGAAATAAAGAATAACGTAAAATGATATTTAAATGAAGATTTAATATTATAAGCTACCACTGGATCCCTCGTGATTACCCTCAAATCCAGCCACATCCCTGCAACGTGGGTTGTGGAATGCCTTGACAACTTAACTAAAGACAAGTCTAGGCAGGGCTTCACCAACCCCACTGGTATATGTAACGCCCCGTTTCTGGTATGCATTTAAAACATTATTTTTCTTCTTATTTTAGAAGCTACTCGACGAGTCAGTGGCCCTAACTCGTCGAGTAGCAGCGGGTCAACACGTGGAGTAGGCGTGGCGACTCGACGAGTCCATATTCCAGACTCGGCAAGTCCGCCAGTCTGGATGAAGCGCTAATTTTCAGGGAGTGTACCCTATTTAAACACCATTATAGCCCCAAACCAGCCTCCTTCACCTCTTAGAGACTTATTCCCGAAACCCTAGCCTCCGTGAAGTGTGTGAGAGTGATCTTTGCCCTTGTGAAGGAATCTTGGTGCATTGTTGAGCAAGAAGAAGAAGAGAAGGTAGAAGAACTCAAGGAAGAAGAAGTAGATCCAAATTATACTCCTCTTTGGCCATCCTTTCTGGTAATAAAGCTTTCATCTTGGTTATTGTATTGCTAGATCTAGTTTGTCCCCAAATTGATGGTTTTGAGCTCAAAAACCCCAAATCCATAGTGATGAAGCTTTATAATCAAGCCATATCTCGGATCTAGCCTCTCTTGAGTTCCAAGAGCTCAAGAAGGCCACCTTTTGGCAGCCATGGCTTTGTTCTAGACAAGTAACCCCCATAATAGCCAAGTTTGAGTGTTATTGCTTCATTGCATCATAGATACACGTAAAGTTAGCAACTTTACGTGTTCAGATAGTCCCAGAAACCCAGATCTATGAATTGGATGCACTAAAACTGATTAGAATCAACTGAATAGAAACTGCATGCAAAGGACTCAACGAGTCGTTCTTCTGACTCGGCGAGTCAGGTCGCGAGTCTTAGATTCCCTGTTCAGTAGTAGCGAGTCTGTTTAGTGAGTGGAGTAAAGACTCAGTGAGTTAAGACATGGATCTGAGTGTAGAGGGACTCGGCGAGTCTACGCCCTGACTCGGCGAGTCCAAGGAAATCTCCTTACCCGTAAGAACAGACTCGACGAGTTGTTCATACAACTCGGCGAGTCACAGACTGGACGTGTTCTTATGTTGAAGGTGAACTCGAAGAGTTGATCATACAACTCGGCGAGTCGGATGAAGGGTGGTAGGATATCAGTAAAGAAGGAGAACTCGTCGAGTTTTGGTTAAACTCGACGAGTAGAGTCGGGAAGGGGAGTAGAAGGAAAGATAGGGACTCGACGAGTTGGTGGCCCAACTCGGCGAGTCAGGTCAACGGTATGTTTACTTTGACTAGAGGGTAAAATAGTCATTTTACCCTAAGATTAGTTATCAGTGTCTGATTAAGTGTCTTTTGGGAATTGTTGCCGGGGAGTTACCGGAGCAGCAGTCAGACAGTTCCCGAGCAGCATGTCAGCAGCCAGCCTTACGAGGTGAGTTTTCTTTCCAGTAGGAACGGGTCTACGGCCACAATGCCGGCCCGTTTAGTTAGCAGTAGTTCCGGACTTCAGTCTGATGCAGTAGTTCTGTATGCTTGGTGTCTTTGTGATACAGGCATGGTATGTGTTATAGGTTCCGGACTATGGTCTGATGCAGTATGCAATATATGTGTTCATATTATATGCTATGATTGTGTTATGCTATGTTCAGTCAGTTCCAGATTTCGGTCCGATGTAGTTCCGGACTTCGGTCCGATGCAGTGGGCAAGGCCCAGTATGTGCTTTATATGTTATTGTATGGCATGTGGTAGTTTGGGAGAGCTCACTAAGCTTCGTGCTTACAGTTTCAGTTTTGGTTTCAGGTACTTCAGCTAGCAAAGGGAAGGGCTCGGGATGATGGCATGGCACATACCACAGTTTAGCCTGGGAGTTAGACTCTGATATTTTGATATGATCTTGACACTTGTTTCGATTTGATAAATTTATTATGACATTTTGAGATACACGATTCATGGTTTTTATCTTTTAATATTTGATATTATGGTTTAGTAAAGTTTTCAAACAAAAATTTTTTGGGTTGTATTTTTGGGATGTTACAAGTTGGTATCAGAGCCTTGGTTTGAGGGATTCGGGCGCACTCCCGAGTGTGTCTGAACTCAAACTAAGGAAGTGGTATAAAGTTTTCAAAAGAAAAGAGTTTTAGAAAAGCAAAAAGAATTTTTAGAAAGAAAAGAACTTTGAAAGGAGAAAAAGGGTGTGGTGCATGCAATCAGCCGAGCTCAAGTAAGTTCTCCCAAATTATCCATACAAGTTTATGCTATGTTATGATTATCAGCTTTATTAGAACATCATGCTAGATTAGGACTAAGGATCTAGAAAAGGATGCCTTATGTGCCTGTTATATGTGTTTCAGCTCTATGAAAACTGCATGCTAGTACAGAATTGTCAGTATGATAGCCAGAGTAGTATATGCTTGATTATGTGTACTCGATGCTCGAATGCTGCTTGCTTTGTGCTTTTAGGAGTCTTAGTTATCTTTCACTAACTAGTAAATGAATATGTTACGTTACATATTGTGAGGATTAAATAATTTCAGAAGGTTAGGTCTAGCTCTATTGCGCAGCTCTTGTCTGAGTCCAACCGTTGTAGGGTAGGATCTCTCATTCGAAGAATTATCTAGTCTTTGTGATATGTAATAGTATTCACGAGCTAGTTAGGGGGAGGTAGCCGGGACTTCTTGTGCAACTGATAGCGGAGAGTGGGTTGGTGATTACCCTAGGGCAAGCCTAGGATGAAAGTAGCAGAGAGCAGTGGTAGTAGAAGGGACTTGGTGGAGTCAAGGCAGTTCTTGAGGAAAGTACGGATAGATGTGGAAGGTAGTATGGGCCCGTACTACTGAAAGCAGAGGATCCGTACTCGAATCAAGGAAGGCTGAGATGAGACCAGGAAACTTGTAGTAGTAGCGATCCCTCGAGATATATTTGTATTCCTGACGTTGTCATTATGTGTTTTCAGAATGGTGGTTTTACGCCCTAGACCAGCAGTCGGCAGTTCAGGTGCCGGTGAGGGATCGGGATCAGGCTCGGGGGCCGAGCATTTGGATGAGCAGACTAGGGAGTTTCTCTCCTCAGAGGTTACTCGCATCATACTCGAGCAGACTCCTGTGATCTTCGGTTCGATCAAGGAGGGTATTTTGGAGCTGATGGACGAGAAGTTGAGCACATTCCGTGCTGAGGTGGCGGCCATGATGGGGTCGCGCACCCTCACTTTCAGGGAGTTCAGAGCATGTGGAGCTCCTGACTACCATGGGGCGCGGGATCCCATTGCGAGTACCAGGTGGTTGGCGGATGTCGCCAATGCATTCCGCACCAGCAGATGTCCCGAGGGGGACAAGGTCAGACTAGCATCCTGTCTCCTGAAGGACAGGGCACGAGATTGGTGGGATGAGATCGGACATGTCATGGGAGATGACGCAGCTCTCGATGTGATGACCTGGAACGATTTCACTACCAGGTTCAGAGCCGAGTTTGCACCGGTTATCGAGGTGCAGCAGTTAGCGAGGGAGTTTCTGGATCTTACTCAGACTACTGAGACTGTGGCGGAGATTACCGCCAAGTTCAGGGAGAGGGCTCTTCTCGTTCCTCAGTATGCGGCTGATGAGGAGATGAAGAAGGCTCGTTATCATGAGATGTTGAGGATTGATATCCGACAGTTTGTGAGCCGGTCCAGCTGTAAAACGCTGGATGACATGATTGTGAGGGCTCGTGAGAGAGAGATAGATTTGGAGATGGAGAAGAAGAGGAAGCCAGAGGCGGCATCTGGCACAGGGAGTTCGGGCAAAAAGCCCAAGGTATCGGATCACAGATCCAAAGGACAGTAGAGCCACAGTAGGTGTGGCAAGTGTGGGAGATTGCACGATGGGGCGTGCAAGGCAGGGATCTCCGGCTGCTACAAGTGCGGTCGGACCGGGCATATGAGTAGGGATTGTACAACCACCACCACTACCACAACAGCTGATCTGATTTGCTTCCATTGCAATCAGAGGGGACATAAAAAGTCCCAGTGCCCGAGTTTAGCAGTAGCAAGGAAGGTGGCACACCTGCCCTGCTACTTTGAGGATTACAGACGGCCGTCAGGGTCGGGCTGAGGCGCCAGTGGCGAAGAGTAGAGCTTTCCAGATGACAACAGAGGAGGCGCGGGCGACTCCTGATGTGGTGATGGGTATGTATTTTCCTCTTATCTCTGTATTTAGTATTGATTATTTCTCATGGTTATGTGTTTGTATATAGGGTCGTTCTTAGTGAACGACATTTCAGCTACAATATTGTTTGATTCGGGGGCCACCCGATCGTTTGTCTCGCTTGCGCTTAGCAAGCGGTTT